CGGACCTACAGATCATTTCATGATCTTTGGAACTTCTCTTTGGAAATGCTGATAAGAACATTTTTGTTTAAATTCATTTTTTAATCCTCTGTTATCTTTCTGCATTCATGTATACAGATGTTGAAGGCCAACCTTGGGTATCAGCCACCCCCTTCCACCTTGTTCGAGGCAGGTGCTCTTTGTTGTTCATAGCTGTGACGTGCATCAAGTTAGCTGACCCTCAAGCTTTGGAGAATCCTCCTGTCTCCACCTCCCACCTTTTAGTTGGAGTGGTTGCAGTGTTCAGCTTTTATGTGGATCTCAAGGGTTCAAATTCACGTCCTCACAAAAGAGTAGACTTATCTCCCCAGCCCTCCACCCAAATGTTTCAATAACACAAAAAATTCTACCCTTTACAGCCATGGCTTTTAACAATGGCTTGGAGTAATGGTTGTTAAAGTGTGACTGGTCTTGGGGAGGCACAGTGTAATCTGCTTGGGGGTGAGAGAGATACATTTATCATTTTATACTTTGCTACTTTTGAGGGTTGTCATAGTTCATAATTTGAATTCATAAAATCTTGATTTAACAGTAATGAGGAGGGATCCACGAAAGAAAAAAAAAGTAAGAAAAATATTCCTTCATCCAATAGGGTACCAAGACTCACGTTGGGGTGGGAGCAGACCCTAAATGGTGATGATGGCCTGGATATAAGTGGTGATAGTTAACGTTTAAGGGATGATTAATTCATAGCATTTGGAGGGCACTTACTCTATGCCAGTTTTAAGTGCTTCATGTACAACATATTTAATTTTGTAGGTGGGACCTATTACTTGATTCTTCATATAGGAATAATCCTATAAACACACAAACTGATGTAAAAAAGAGTCCAGAACTTTGGTACCAAGTCACAGAGACAGTGGGAAGGAATTGGATTTGAACTCAACTGTAGAAATTCCAGGCCTAAGTTCTTTAAACTGCAGCCTACAATACAGCCTTTCTACAAACAAATATTGAGAGAAGGCTGAAGAGGAAAAATCAAAATGGTCACTGTTTCTATGGCCAATACAACACATTACTTTGTAGGTTCACTATGCTGTGAACCTCTGGACATGGGGACAACACAGTTCAGGGTGAGAAATGATTGGGAAAATATCTTCATGTGATTTTAAACCATAAGGAGAATTCATTTATTGATAATGATCTAAGATCCCCACTGAAAAAAAATTCTGTCACCAAAGTCCTCCTCTTCCCATGACTGAACACAAACCCTCTGACAAGACCCGGGCTGCCTGCCATGCGCTTGTGAATCCTTTGGAAGTTTCTGAGATGGTGTGCTAGCTCTGCTTCGCTCTGCTCAAGATGGCCATAGAGGACTCTCAGAGTCAACTTTGTGGAACTGCAGTAAGCAGGCCACTTAATGCTGCACAGCAGTTCCATGGAATCACCGTCACAGGACAGGGGAAGAAACTGATGGTCTCTGAGCATAATAACTCATCTGACACCATGCAGTTGGTAAGGGACAGAGCCAGCACTTCAATCACAACCATCTGAATGCTGGTAGCGGAACTATTGGCTTTCCTTGCTTCCTTGACCTGATGCAACTGTCTGCACCTCTCTTCTGCTGCTCTCGAAACTCTTTATTTCTAACAACAAAGGTGCTATTCTAATGTTGGGGATACACCTGTCACCCAGGTTCTCCCAGGCTCTGCAGAGAGGAAGTGTGAATGGCATAGACCCCAGGAAGGAAGATGGAGGATCTCCCTGCTGTGCTGGGCCTTACTGCCATGCAGAGGATACTGATCTATAAGTATGGATGGCCTAGTAGTAGTTACAGACCCCAGCACTTCTTCCAGACTTAGAAGGAGTTTGGGTTTAGTTAGTTAGTTTGTTTGTTTTCATGTGTACGTGTTCATGTATCTGTGTGAGCCAGAGGTAGATTCTGTTGGTTCCTTCCTTAATCACTTTCTACTGTTTTTTGAGACATGGCCTCTCATGGACCTGATGCCCTCTAATTCAGCTAAGCATGCTGGCTGGCTAGTGAACTCCAAGGGTCCTCTTGTCTTTACTTCACCAGTGTTTAAGTACAGGCACACACTGCCATACCCAGCATTTTTACAGGAGTATCTGGGAACTGAGCTTAGGTTTTCATGTTTGTGTGGCAAGCCCTTTACTGTCTGAGCCATTTCTCCAGCTCCCAGGTTTCAATTTTATCATGAGGGCAAGGGGAGCCACTGAATGAGTGTAAAGACATTTAGCAAATGCTGATTTAAACTGCATTTATGGTCAGATTGACCCGTAATTAGTGACGAGAGAAAATGAATGGGACAGTGACTTTGTACTTAGAAATTCTCATTCAAGAAGTTTTAAAAAAGACATAGTTGTTATACATGAGGTTTTAAAAAAGAAATAGTTGTTGTTATTATACATGCATGTGTGTGTGTGTGCATGTGTGTGTGTGTGCATGCAGCCTATGTAGATGTTGGAAGACTACTTTTGGAGGTCTATTCTTTCTTTCTATATTTCATGGATTCTGGGGATTGAACTCAGGTCATCAGGTTTGTGAGGCCACAAGTACTTTATGCACTGAGCCATCTTACTGGCCCAAGATGTTTTTAATGAATAACAATGAAAGACGTGGAAGGAAAAAACAAATAAAACGTAACACTTTATTATTATTATTATTGTAGAAGGAATTCACCAAAGTCTTCAAATTATGCTATGGCATCTTTAATTATAAAAATAAGCAAATAAAATAACTTGCATCTGTCATTACCATGATATGTTTCATAACTTTTATATGCACATGGAGCTTAAAAATGTAATTTAACAATAAATAATGACATATACCAGATATGCTCACTGTTTATTCCAGTACTCAGCCAAAAACCTAAATATCACTTAAATTATAAATACATAATGCAAATATAACGGCACAAAAATGTTCTAAAGTGCAACCAAATCACGAGAGAGGAGATCATGCAAACTGGTCTAGGTCAGCCCCCGAATCACTCTGCAGCAAACATGAGACAAAGCTTTGGAAGTTCAAGGAGGAGGTGGAGGGGTCAGGGGAGGGAGAAAAGGAAGCAAACACCTAGCAACATTGTGAGAACTGCTTCTTTCCACGTGTGTGGTAGATATATGTCTTGTTGACACATATACCAATATCACTGCGGGAGAAAAGAGGCTATACCACGGTTTGAAGAAGTCGCAGCAAAAAACAAAAGAAAACAAAACAAAAAAACCAAAAACCAATAATAATAATAAAAAAAGAGAACAGAGGAGAAAGAGAGAAGAGAGAAAGAATATCTACCGAACTAAAGTAAGAGAGAAATTTACTAGGAATTCTCATAAGCTACTTGCCACTTTGGGGTTCTGGCTTAGTGGGTTTGCAAAATGCACAACACACACACTTGGTTAGCTTTTCTGGTTCAAAGAAGTCAGCCTTGCCTGGGGCGGGAAGTGGGGGAGAGGGGTGAATCTAGCTTAGAGTATGTGCTACCTGATTTCCAAGAGGCTAAGGCAGTGTCCATTTGCTTGGGACCTGGGGTTGGGACAGTTCTGAGTATAAAAATGCCCTTAACAATCTGATGTCAGCACGCTTAGAGGCTGTGTGGGAACGGAGGCAGCAGCGTTTGCACCGCTTCGGCTGCGGGCCGCGGCTGCGCACGACTGCCTGCTGCACTGATCTTGGTCCTTGAGCACTTTGTTTCTGGTTTTAAAGGCTTTGTGGTAAAGTTGTATTGCTTTTTATTTCCCTGGAGAGGTGCCCTCCCTCCTCCCACCAGGGTCCCTATCACTCAATTTGGTCAACTCTGCGGTGTAGCCTAGTGAGAGTCAAGCACCAATAGTTTCTACCCAAGTGACTTTGGAGCAGCCCCTTCCGCTTCCTCTCTCGGCATTGACCTTTGGTGAGCAGTGACACTCATAAGGGGCTGTTGGGTTCAAGGACAATGACCCTGAGAAACTACTGTTGTTCGTAGACAGGTTAATCATTTGGCTTTGGTGGCTGCCATCTTGTAAACATCACAGCGGAAATGATCAAACCACCAGCTCTTACACCCTCCTTCATTCTCTCTATATTTTTTCTTTTTTTTTCTTTTTTCTTTTTTTTTTCCTTTAAAGATCCTACAGAGATGGTCCAGCTGCCAGGACTACTTTGGCAAGCAGCGTGTTACAGGACAATGTAAGAGGAGTCTATTAAGGCGGGACATCCCAGGGTTATTTACACCCCGTCAAGCCCAAGTTCCCCAGACTGAAGACCCAAAGGCCGATCGACTCATTCCTGATTGGCTTAGAATCTCCCACACCATCACTGACCAGAGTGCCAGGCACTGATGGAAGGTGATGAGCCAAGAACTGCCACTTCCAAGGGGACAGTAGGTCTTGTCACACTCAGTGTCCAAGCCCAAAGGGGTGATCTTTTTGAGTCCTCTAATTCCCAGTTGGATGTGACAGAACTGTTTCAGGATACACCTAAGTCAAATGTAGCCTCTGGGTTGAGGTGGGCTGGGAGATTGACATTTTACCTGGGGTCCTTCAGATAACCTGTTGGGTTTTCCTATCTCGTATAGGCCCATCTGAAGTTCTGATGTTGAGTTAAAACTACTTCTACCCCCTTAGTTATAAAAAAGGCCACAAGGAGCATGAACGCGGATATCTGGAAGTGAGATAGTTATTTCATTCCCAGGAAAAGGAAAATAAAGCTAAGGTACAAAACTAAATCTATATGCGATAAAGTTCTTATAGACTGCTTAGTTAAGCAGAGTCCTCTGGAATTTATGTACAGTACATTAGTTTCCAGCTATTTATAATTCCACAGTTAGACCTTAAGATTCTCTGTTTTTAAGACAATTGTTAAAGATACTTTTAAAGCTCTGAGCAGTTACAGTACATAAAGATGTTAGCTTTCTGTTTTTTCACTAGATGCAAGAAGATGCTGGCTCAAAGTCTGGTGGGAGAACCAGGCTTGAGCAATTTGGTAAATATGTCAGAAAGGAAATTAGGCATTGGAGGATAGAGACCATAAGACTCGCTAGAGATCAAGAATTCAAACGTGACATTCATATTCGTCCATGGCCAGCACAGATTCATAACACGAATTCTATTCAACATATTTATGAGCATTTAAGACATGCATTTAAATAAAGTTGTTTTGTATTGGCTAACTCTACTGGGTGATCATTCTAAAGGGTTCTACGTCGTCAGATTACAATGACTGGGAAGTTACATGAACATTTTGTGTTTGAGGAGCAATTGGTAGGGATCTGGGAAAAGAATTCATAGAGAAAAGGGAATAAAAGAGACTACAGTCTCTCAAGGAGAGGATGAATGATCACACATATTCTGTTGATAATAGTGCTATCATTGCAGAATGTTGGGATATTGATTACGGAAGCCTAGTTTCATGCAATTTTCTTTAAAGGGGGGATAGAAAATAGAGATTACTTAAAAAAAATCAAACCAGGCACAGTACACTCAAAGTTGGTGTATCAACACCCCTAAAACGCTATTCGTCGAGGCTGCGGATACCTCCCCCTGCTTACGCACTCTCATGGGAGGTGCGTTTGATGTGTGAGGGAGAGTCCCCCTCACCTCGAAGGTTCCTGAGGAGGACTTTCAGCTTCTGTGGCTCATTTGTGCGCCTCCTGTTGAAGTCAGCTCTGGGGTGTGTCTGGGCACAGTGGTCTGTCTGCAGGATGTGGAAGAGGCTAGCCATGTTGGGCCCAATTTTCTCCATCAGGCTGTCTCTGATAGTGCGGACTGTATCTTCATCACACTCCAGAAGGCTTCGGACAAGTCTGTTGTAATATCTGCAGTGGGAGAATGCTTATTAGGGAATCCCAAGGAAGGACAAGGTTCTGACGTCAGTGCTCAAACTGTTCAAAGCTGAAGGTGACTTTCCTTTCCCTCTGAGCTCTTATGGCTTTACCATACCACCCTAGAAAGTCCATCTCCAGGTTTACCCTTCAAGAGACATAGATGAAACTGACCAGAAGTAGGGTGATTGTAATGTCTGGAATTCTGGAAGACAAAGACTCTTAGGGATAAATGGGGCAACACAAAACGCTCTCATTGTGTAGGGGAGAAATTAGGATGTCCGCTCAGCATCATACAATGAATGAATGTCAGAAGCCGACTTAGTCACGCCCACTGTACTGTACCCATGTATGGTGGGTCTGAAACTCAAAGCTTGTGCTCGTACCGCATCACTGCCCAGGAACTGACAGTGAATTGGATATCTTTTTGCAGCTTCCCTTCGCCCTGGTGCGTGTGCTCAAGAGTATGTGCACATGAACGCGCTTTCTAACTGCGCTTTGGTCTAAAGCCATGCATTTCCCTGTGAAGTCAACTTTCCTTACACCCACTCAGCAAGTCCTGAAAAGGCTGTTGGCTGAATGACTGTTTTGAGGCTTCCTTCAAAGGCTTAGAGGGGCCTTCTGCAGCCAAACACTAGGTAGCAAGGGTGCTTAAACGGAAAGATTAATGCCCCTCAGAGGTTCCTGCTCTGGAAGCCCATGAAACCCTCTAACATGGTTCAGACTTTTGTGACCTTTTCCTTCTTTGGATGCCTCACGGGCTTTAGTTATCCCCTCAAGCAGAGACATTTGATGGCATTATGACTATTCATTTTTCCCTGGCTTGATTTTGAAAATGTCTCAAGGGCAGGGAGGATGTCCTTATTCTTTGTATCCAAGCGGCTGAGTATCATCAGGCTATATTGTCTGCTCAATAATTCACTGTTGAATTTTATATCCCCCCCCCAAGGAAACAGAACTTAAATAACATGGTTACTCTCTTGCCTGAGAAGAACACATCCACCTTTGCTCTGTATGTATAACACTGATCTTCTCTTGGGTCTTACTGTCTGCCCCTATGCTATTATATCTATACTGAAATATTTTCTCAATATATCTGTTGAACTTTAACATCAATGGAAAGAACATAAAAATATTCTTCTGTTGTACAAAAGAAATTCTCAGCTTCCTGAAGAAAACTGGTCTCTTGGTCAGGTAGATTTGTAAGCAAACAAACAAAATTCCTAATGACAAGACCTCTGTGTTTGGTATAAGTGACTGTCACGTATGCAACAATTCCCTGAATGTCAAACAGTGCTGCCAAGTGTTATAGCTTTGAAAAGACGGAGCCGTCTATATTCAAAACAGCTCATAGAGTTTCTAAACTGACGGGACACATCTGACTCAGTGGTTGTGCAAACCTATTAGCTCTGTGGTCACTGACAGGAGACTCCCCTGGTGACCGTGACCTGCTGTCCTGATGTGGCAAGACCCTTTTCTAGGAGTGGTCAGGGTGTCACTGGGGCCACAGGATCATCCAGGCGGGAAAATTCTGTTTATTTTTAACTCAACCCCCCCTAGCATAGGAGCAAGCATCTTGCTGGAATAACTTGACCCCCTAGAGAGGTCATTGGAATGCTGGACAATGAAGAGGGTAGATCGTGAGTAATCAAGGATAATGGTCACCCTTCTCTGGGTGGGAGGGTCAAGCTGGGGATGGAGAGAGAGGACAGTGTCTGGCTTGCCCATTGTCCTGGCTACAGCTACCCTTTCAGGGACAATTATATCCAGCTGTGAGTGAAATTGGGCTTCTCTGGCTCAGAGGAGCTTTTTCCAACCCTTTGGAATCACAAAGCACATGAGTCAAGCTGAACGTCCTTGGATGGAGAAATGGGGAGAAAAGTAGTTTTGGAAAAACTGAGAAAAAGAACCCCAACAATTGTGCCCCAATACCTTCAGCCATCTATATCCTCATTCTTCTCTGGGCATCTACCAGGAATTAGCTCCCCTACATCCTGGGGCCTATTTTAGAGGGCAGTTAGTTCTTAGAGGAGAGAGTGCCCAAACTCAGAGAAGTTAACCTTTTCACATCTAGAGAGACCTCTTCATGACACGTGTGTCCCAAAACAGGCTGAACAATGTCATTTCTCTTTAGAAACAAAAAGAATAAAAAAAGTTCCTCCTTTGACAGAACTAGAAGTTTTTGTCTGGATGGAGAAGTCTAAACCCCTTAAAGAGATTCAATTTGTCTGGGTAACCTGCAGCTTTGGTGTTGCCTTCTCTGATGGACTAACCAGGGTACCCACTCTTGGGTTTTCTTGGCAATGACCCCTGTCAGCCTGCCCACTCTTCTGCTTCCCTGAGGGGGCTCTGATCACTCAGTGGAGTAGGCTAAGAAAACATCTTAAAACAGGAAATTCTACATGGTCCTATTAGGAGCTCCTCAAAGGCTGAAACCCATGCCAGAGTGCCTGATATCGGTACAGCTAACCCGGTTGTCTCCAATGCGACTGGAATGCGGCACTTAACTCTGGACTGTGCAGGCCAGTGAGAAGACCTTTGCTACACGTTGCTAAGCAACACAGATGCTCTGAGAGGTTGTGCCTCCAGCAAAAGTTGACTTAGCAATTGTCATATATTTATTGAGCACCCTTTTATACTAAGGACACATAGTTACTCTAGCTGTGAAGAGGGATGTGTCTTTTCATTTAGGAGAGAGCACATACAGAATTCCTTACTGAATACCATGGTGTATGTAGATTTAGCTATTCATGGTATTCTATTTTTGGGTTGCAAGGACTTCTTGCAGGGTTTTTCTGGCTGCTTTTTTTTTTTTTTGAAGTAGAAATCAAAATAGCTTGGCTCGAGGCCATGTGAATTCTGGACCCTATTTGGTGACTCACAAGCTGTGAGACCTTCAGGTTGCTTGTCTCACAGGACAGAGTGTCTTCAGTCAGTTAGACGGGGGCAGTGGGGTCTGGATAACTGTCCCCTTCAGATGGAGGGGCAGTAGAGTCTGGATAACTGTCACCCTCTGCTATGGTATTTTGTTTCTAAGGATCCAATGTACATTTTTCTTTTCCAAGCTAAGAAAACAGTATAACCCAGCAGAAGCTCCTTCCTCTGCAGGGGGAGTTGGGATGATTCTGTTCTTTAGCCTGACAACCTTTATGGCATGAGGCTACTCATTGCAATGGGGTAGCCAAATGAAGACTTCTGGTCTCACAGCCTAGAAGCACCTTTTACAAAGCACATATCTTTCTTCTTGTTTTGCAGAGTCTATCCTCGGCAACCCCACCCCACTCCCCTGGTAAAGAAAAAGATCAGATATTCTCCATAGCTACAGTTTCAGCCATGTTTCCCAAATACACAGATTCTGCCTCGGAACGTTCTGTGTGAGCGTTTATAAATAGTCTTTTGTTTCCCTTGATCAATATTATTCTTCTGTTTCCTGTTCCCTATCCATGCCCTAGAGAGTTGGGCGCTTTGTCAGTTTTCCCACTCTGGGGCTGTGCTGGGCTCATTGGTTCCCAAGCCTCGCAGTGTCTTGCCCATCTCTTCCGCGCTCCCTGCTGCCCTCAAGACGGAAGGTCGGGGTTGCAAATGGAGGCAGGCAGACTCTCCCCGCTACCTTCTCCCTCTGGATGAACCTCTACCACGTCCTGCTCTGCCTTCCAGTCCACTGGCAGGTTTTGGATTCTCCCAGACCTAAATCGCACGCTAGACAAATCACAGGAAGGTGGAATGAACCTGTAACTACTTCCCGTAGCAGTCCCTTGCCAAGTGGCAGGAACTGTGCGTGTGTCTATGTTGGGACGGAGGCTGGGAAAGCAGGATGTTTCGGGCGGGCGAGGAGCTGAGACCGAGCAAGCAGATCAAGCCCCTCCTGGAACGGAAATCGTTCCAGTCCTGAACATCGACGTGAAATACTTGGAAAAAGGTAAGAGCTGCATGAGAGAGTCTGGTGTTTGAGTGTGCCACCCTTTCCCCATTGACCTTTTCTACTGAACGTGAATGAGAGGAGATAAGGAGATGGTGCCTGGACCATTTTCTGAAGGCGGTGCAAACAAGGCACTTTGTAAAAAGAATAATGGTCTGGCTAAGGATACCTTTCCCAAGTTTCCTCTGGGGTGATGGGAATCTTTGGTCCAAACACCAAGGCTTCCTTTCTACGGTGAATCCCTTTCCACAAGGGAAAATGCCTCTTTGATTGAAATAGCCGGCTCAGTATAGCTTTGAAATTGGTCCCCCGCCAACAATCCAAACTTGTGCTGATGAGTTTGCCAATATGCCTCCTTTAGCAAGGGTACACAGCTACATACTTCGTCCCTAGCCATTGTCCTACCAAGAACTCTTCGTTTCTTTCCCCATTGCAAAGGGTTAATCTCTAACAAGTGGCCAAGCTTTAACCCTTTCCTCCTTCAACAAAAATCTTTCTAGGAGAATTTTAAAAACCAAGGTTGATCTAGAGAGACAGGCTATTTGAGGAAAATAGAGTTGCTCCCCCCTGTTCTGAGAAAATCAGTAAGAACTCTGGAAGAGTTGTCATCAAGGGCTGCATGGGAGATTTCTCTAAAATGACTTGTGGTCCTGTAGGCCATGAACCTGTGATTTAGAATGGCTCCTAAATGTGACAGAAGTATCATGTTAAGGGCAAAGCCTCTGATAGAACTTGACTGTTGTTATTCTCAGAAAGGATAGGGCCATTTGGCTGGGAAATCTACCAGATTAAGAGTGTGATGACTCCTAGGAGACCAGAGTAGCAGAACCATTCCTTGTGAATGCATCAAGACTGGGTGGGAGAGTCACAGAATCTTACGGTTTCATCCACTCATAGGATTTGGCTTCAGGGATCCACAGTTATCCTCCACTGGCTTGCACTACTACTGTTTCTCTCTGTCCCTGTCCACCCCTCATTTCTTGCTAGCCATCTTTCCAAGATACCCATACTGGACCAGGATATCGGGTCTCTTATGCATCATTCCTGTCTGGCAACAACTTCAAAGTCAAAGACCCAGCAAGACCTGGAGCTCAGATGGTGTAAACCCAATGACTTTGGGTCACCCTCGATATGAATGTGAGCTGGGTAGCTCCCACCTCTTCCTTCTGGGGACTCTTGGGCTGGAGGGTTGGGGTGGTATAAGGCTTTGAAGAGGACATGGGAATGTTTCCCTGAAGACATTTCACTTTTCATAGAGAAAACTGCAAGTTCTGGGGAAATGAGATGACTTGTTCTGGATTAGCCACTGATAAATCTGGGTTTGGGACTGACTTGAAATACAAATAGATTTGATAAAAACGTCTGCATTCTGACATTTGACCTGGGGTGGGTTTATCGGCCTATTTCTGTTTGACTGTCATGGTTTCAGCCAAACCTGGTGTCTCAAACAGTGTTTTCCAGAGGCTTCCTTGTTGGCTTTAGGCTATGTTAAGAATTGGACAGAGATGCACCTGCCCAGGGTTCCTGCAAACCAGCTCTCTGATAGCTGGGGAAGATTTTAACACTGGAGGGGAGAAAATGTCTTCTCTGGCTTTGCTTGCCTCTCCCCATTCATGCCCCTGATTGTGAAGAAGAGGACCCCTCCCTTCCCCTCCCCCCGGGTACCTGTTGGAGAAGTGATTGGGCAGCTGGATGACTTCAGTGATAGCTTCTGGGTTGCGCCTGGCGATGCTGCAGACATTCAGCTTGCTGTAGCACTCTTCCTGCACTTCGGCGATCATCCTCTGGAAGGTGGAGCACCTCCGGATGGCAAGGAAAACCTTGGAGGTGATCCCGTTGGCGATGCATTTTAAGCTCTCTTTGACAAATGCTTTTCCCTGGCAGGGACAAGAAGATAAGTGTTCATTTGACCTATTAGAAGCAGTCAGGGTCTATGACACAGGGACCTGCAAGGGGACTTGTTTTAATAGCATGACCAATAGCCAAAAAAAAAAAAAAAAAAAGAAAGAAAGAAAGAAAGAAAGAAAAAGAAAAAGACCTTCTCCCTAGGACTGTCTTGAACATTTCAGCTCCAGAGAAAAGAGATGAGATGGGAGGAAGCTATTGTCAACAGTTCTGAGGTGTGAAGATGGTCAGAATCAGGTTTATGTTCTTGGGATTAAGATTGGTAACTCAGAATTTCAGACAGCAAGCTAGTGGATTCAGAGGAGAACATTTTTATTTCCTCTCAAAGCAGAAATGCTTTTCTGCTAGTCATCCCTCCTGTTTTAAGCCAGCCTCTGTCAACTCCGTATTCCTGGTCTAAACTGTGCCCCCTCTCCCACATGTAAGTATGTGGGTATCTCTCTCTCTCTCTCTCTCTCTCTCTCTCTCTCTCTCTCTCTCTGTATGTCTGTGTGTCTGTCTGTCTACACCCTGGGATGAGCCTTTTGAGTAGGAGGCTGGGAAGCAGCTTTATTTTGTCCCTACAAGATAGGCTCCTAAGAACAGCACCGAGCACCCTGTTAAATGACAAACAGTCAGCGGGAGCAGAAGAGGTCAACGTTGCTTTACCTGAGTGTCAAATTTAGCAGCACTGTACAAGAAGGATTTACAAATGTCGTACATTCCATCTGTGTCACATGTGGAGTTTTCCAGGCATGCAAAAGCCCCACAGCCAACCTGCAGGGCACTGTTGAGGCAGCGAACCACTTCAGCTGAAAAAGACAAGCAGAAATAGTCCGGGTCAAGCCAAAGGGCTCTGGATAGGAGCCAGTAGGTGTAGAGGCCAACATCTGCATTTATCCTTGAACTTTGACCTTGGGTCCCATTAGATAGAACAAGTTAAAGAAAAGTGTGGTGGTGGTGGTGGTGGGACTGATGAGAAAGGGGATGAATGGGCTCTTTCTGCTCCTAAGGATCAGAGCAGAGGGGATGACTCCCCCTCAGGCGCATGCTTTCTGGGTCTCACCGTTTTATTCATTTTGGTGGCTAGAGAAGTTAGGTTAGAGACCTTGGAGTGCACAGTGTCTTCTGGTAGTGACAGGAATCAGAGACTGACACTGGGAACTTGAGGGCATGGGTAGGATGTAGGTGGTGAGTGACTGAAGGTCAGGCTCATCCTGAGGGGGTCCGGAGAGGACCAGAGAACCTAGCAGCCTTCTAAAAAAAAAATGCAGTCTGGAGTCAAAAGCATTGGGCATTTTCATCCAAATGGCAGGGAATGGTTTGCTGAGTTCACACGGAAGGAGACCCTTCCCAAAGAGGGCTTCTAACCCACAATGGCTTCGGCAGAAGAGACTCGGAGCCTTTGTATCCACCCCAGCCCCCCAACCACAAGCCATCGCTCCGAGGTGTGAATAATCTCTCATATTAAAAAAGACTTCTTTTTCCAAAAGGAGAAACACAGGTGTGGAGAGACAAGTGCAAGGCATCCCCTATGCAAGGCTGGAGGAAAACCGCAAAGAACTTGCACCAGGCTTTCTGCATTCTGGGGAAGATCTGCCATAAAAGTAATTTCTCTCCCACAGAAGGAGGGGTGTTCTGGCAGGCAGCTCGGCATGCAATGATCTGTAGCCTTCATACCGTAGCATTCTCCTCCCAGATCAAAAGCGTGGTTTGGTTAGGCTAAGGCTTCCCCGCCCCCCTTCCACCTCCCGCAGCCTCTGGGATGTTACAAGTCATTTCCCTAATTATATATTTCCACGGGTTCAAATTATAACTTTGCTTTAAGCAGTTTTAATATGCATTAGGACTGCTATTGTTTTAGGCAAGCTTGAATTGTGAATCACGGCATCGCTATAGCAACTAAGTACAAAAGGAAGCGAGGCAAAAGGCCTCCTCTCAACAGGGACCTGCGCTCTTCCATGGGGGGAGCATCTGCAGCATTTTGACACCTGCGGTCCCATCTCTGCCAACAGCTGGGGAGAGAAGTGAGCGGGGAGCAAAAGTTAAGGGGCAGAGGGAGTCCTAATGCCTCTTCGCCTCCGGAGGCCAGGGCCATAGACAGTTAACTGGTACTGGAGTCAGGCCGAAAGTAAGACCTTCCCCTCAGAGAAAGAACTGCTTCTTTCACAAATGCACTTCCTTCTAGGGGCCATGGGCTGCTTGGGTGATTGAATGGAGCCGGTGAGAGCGAGAAAGGAGACAGGCAGCCCTGTAGGGCATGGGGTGTGTAGAATTTTCCCCCCTTTCTTCTTTCCGAATCCGCCCTGGATTCTTTTTTTTTTTTTCTCCTTCAGATCTGAGAACTATGGTTCCACAAATCATTGTGCAGAGGGGGGCTTGTCTGGGTGCTCTCTGAAGAGGTAGAGAAGTCAAGTTACAAGGTCTTAAAGGAGCAGGGAGAGGGACCGCAGCAGGTAAGCCGCGCATCACCTTAAGACCGGCTTGTGGAGTATGGAGCTGTGAGGCTTGCCAACATTTAAGCCTTTCCCCGCCCCCTCCCCCCAACAAGAGGGTACGTGCCAGATTTCAGGCAATCAGGCTGGCTTATGCAATGAAATACCCTCAGCAGAGCGCCCAGCTTCTTCGTTAGTTGCATGCAATTTATTAAACAAAGGAACTCCACTTCCTAAGGCTATTGGATTACACTGGCAGTGCATTACCACCGGGCATGAAGCACATTTATTACCGAGATCAGCCGTCAGGGACACACATGCAAAAAGTGCGAGAGGCAAATGAGGACAGCTCTTTCGGGGAGAAACCAGTCCTGGGGTTGCTGGCTTACCTGAATTTTGAGCCGCCACCCGGGATTTTCTGGGGCTCACAGAGTCATTCTGTTCCACCTCGTGCGTTGCAGCAGCACTGATAACCAGCACCAGAATCACTGCTGAGTTTTGGAGCATTCTCTGAGAAGTTTCCGCTAAGTTGTTGGCTTTTTTTTTCCTCCCCCCCTTTCCTCTTTCCCTCTCCCGGCTTGAGGGAAGATGCGGATCTGGATATACTGAAAGCTTAGGTGAGGATCTGAGGAAGAATTTGTGTGTGTGTGGCTGGCTGGTTGGCTGGTTGGCTGGCTGGCTGCTGCTGCTGCTGTTGCTGCTGCTGCTGCTGCTTCTTACACCTCTGGCTTTTGCAATCTGGGGGCTCAAGAGCTGCACCCAGGGATTTTATAGCCGTCTTATCGGTCCTCAGGATCAGGGACCAATCAGATCCTTCAACGGGTCCGTTTAGCCAATAGGCAGGCACGCTTATTCAGCTGGAGCTTTTTGACTTCTTAGAAATATTTTCCAGCAAATTGAAAGTACCTGCTGCCAATGATTTATGTGTGTGTGTGTGGGGGGGGGGGGTGCTGTGTGTGCAGGGATGTGTGAAGAGCTATTTTCACACGCTGAAGTGATAACTCTGTATTGATCAAACTGAAAGGAAAAAAAATCACTTGCCAAGCTCTTCAAGGTACTTGCGAAATTCATCTTATCTTATTTTATTTATTTTAAATGAACCACTAGGAGGAAATGGATGTTGGGTGCTTGATACGGGGATGCGATGCGGATTGGAACTGAACTGAATTATAACAGCCCTCTAACTTTAGTAGGCTGTTCTCTGCAATAGCGCAACATCGTCTTTGGCTTGTGTGTTCACTTGTAGTGTGCCCCTTTGACTCTTTGCTGTGACCTGTGAATTCTCACGGGTATGTGTAAACTGTGGCGGAAGGATGTATGCGAGTGTAAGAGCCTAGTGAACAGCGGTACTCTGGTTCTAGCTCCCAGCGGTTCCCTCAGCTCTCCTATTTATTAAACCTCTGACCTTGGCCATGTCCTTTTACCTTGCTGTTCCACTTCTCAAGTCTTATTCCACACACCTCTAAAATGGTATGATTCCCAGGGAACATAACATTTTGAAACAAGGGCTCCTGTAGCCCAGTCGGAACGCGCAGCACAACTAAGGGTGACCTTGAACTCCTGGTCTCGCTGTCTCCATCTTTCTTATGCTGCAATGACAGGAGTTTGCCACCGTGTGGCGCTGGTGATCAAACCCACAGCTTCCCGCATGCCGGCCTGCACTCCATTAACTGGTTCACCCATCAACACTGTCTACTTAGTCACCAAGGGCCCTGCCAACTCCAGGAGTGTTGGTTACTGTCTGCGCGCACACACACACTTACTCACTCACACCACACTCCACAGAGGGACATGGCAAATGCCTGAAAATTAATAAACTGTGTATTCAAGACCAGCCACTCCATAATCACGTTGAAACAATGAGCTGGTCAAAGCAAGACTAAGCCTGCTGGGTAAACCAGTTCACTTCCTGGGGGTTGGGGAAGAGGCGGGGGGGGGGGGGGGGGGGGGCAGGAAGGGGGGGGACTGGGAAGAAAGGGTAGGGGAAGACCAGAATGTGTAGGAGAGGAGACTGATAAACTGGAGACTTAATGGGAAAATTACAGTGGAATTACAAACCGTGCCCAGCGTAGCCGCTCATAGTTTCTTATAAGTGGAGTGTAGGTAACGAGAAGGCTTGTCTGTGAGTTGTGAAGGAGGTTAATGATCCACGAGAGGACTTCTCAGGGTAGGAAGGTGGTCATTAAGGGCTGGGGTGAGGCGAAAGGATTAAACAATAAAATCTCGAATAGTTTGCAAGAAGGTAAGCGAGAGAGCTTTTGGCAATTCTGCAGACTTGGGCAGTATGGTTTTGCAGAGACACAGAGCCAGCGGCTTCAGGTTCAATCCTGAAACGTCTCATGGAAGCTAAAACAAACAAACAAACAAACAAAAACAAACACTGTCCTCACAAATCAAGCCAAAAATAAGGTCTGTCTCTGAGTGTGTGTACATGTGTGTGAATGTGCGCATTCATGTGTGTGTCTATGTGTGTGTCTATGTGTGTCTATGTGTGTGAATGTGCGCATGCATGTGTGTGTCTATGTGCAGGGAGTGGACTTGTTAGATGACTTAAAACCCATCCTTTGCATAAAAGAATTACTAGAAAGCAGAGATGTTTGCTATAACAAGGACTAGAAGGAATAAAGACACAGAAAATATGTTAAAAATTGGAAGAATTTCCATGTTTCAATTAGTTAATTTTACGTTTTGATTGATTAAATGTGCACACTGTTTAACTTATTCCAGTTTTTGTTCATCAATGGCATTGTTGTTTCTCCAATGCCTTTTAGGCAGAACACTGTTCAGTGTTTCAGGGTGGATAAAAGTGAAGAAATCTAGAAGACAAACAATTCTTGACCCGAGGAACTTGAAATCTAGTTGGGAAGATGACCAACCTTGGGTCACCTTCTATAAATTCAGAATGTCATGACTTTGAGAGACAGCTAGAGATTTGAGGAAGGTGTCATATGTCAAGAAGTAAGTGAATTTTAAATTAGGAAAAGTGATGGTAGCTCATGTTTCATGAAATTCTTATTCTGGAGAACTCTGGGGTTGACTCTTGATGGCTCTAGGCATTAGGCAGGAATAGAGACAGTATGACATTACAGAATAGATCACTCACTGGTACCTTCCAAAGAGGGAATAAGGACGTAGGTTCAGATTCTCCCAGAAGGACTTGCCTTCCATTCTCCAGTATGCTCCACTTCCTTCACCATTGTACACGGCTCGAGGATCTACACTTGACCTCTGGCTGGTCCACCAGCTGGCAAGTGTGATGGTTATCCTCTGACAATACAATTTCTTTTTCCAGCTCGCTGAAGCCTTTACCAGAACACAATGTCCTATAAGTATCAGGATGTGGTGTGCTCGTGTGTACGTGTGTATGTTTGGTGTTGAATTTTCACTCCTTATTTTGCTCACTTACAGCTATATCTGTCTATCTATCTAGGGGTTGGTCTCTAGTTGTGCCAAGAGTTTTACAATGGTGGGAAAGGCTGCCATCCAAACGAAGACAGTGGTGAGCAGCCACACAAGTTCAATGAAACCAGCGTGCAAACACCACTGCTAAGTGTACAAGCGCCACTCCGCTTGAGAATGTTAAGGGAGGGAGCTGAAGGCAATCACAAGTATCCAAAACTGAGTTCCTGCCCAGAAGCCTGTAGCTTTAGGATATCTGAGCCCCCGCCATCACTGCGCTGTATAAGGGACTTTGAGATGGCAGGGGCAGAACTCTTGGCAATGCTGTGGGGGATATATGGCTCTGTTTGTGACTTTTCTTGGGGAAGGGGCATTGAGAGAATATGGAAGACTCTGGAGGCCAGTTTTAAGTATCTGAGTTTTATCTTATAACAGGAGGCATTTGGGTTCTTTAACAGGAAGATTAAGCTCAGGGAAGGGCTTGTCATCATACAGACAGTGTCTTGGAGGAGAAAGCTTGGAGCTTCATGGGCATCTGTGTTGCTGAGATTGCTATGGTGATTGGAAGGAAGGAGGGTTGACTTGAGAGATGCTTTGTATAAATTCATCTTAGGAACCAACCTAAGGACACGCTTGGAAAAGATCCTTCTCCCAGTTAGGTAAGTCATGTACATCAGACTTTTCCTGCCCTAGTTTTGGCTATAATGTTTTAATTGCAAGAAAGATCTAGCATTTCCATAAGGCAGGCGTTTTCTGGCATTCACATAGGGTTGTAGATTACCTAACAAAAGTCTTGACTGTACTTTCAGTGGGTGGGGAACCTTCCAAAGCCAAGCTACACAGTTGGAGGTGCCTGTGGGGGCAGTGGGTGGGAGGAGAAGGTACCTCTGCTATTGCCCCCAAGCCAAGAAAGTGCTAAGAAGCAGGAAAGAGAAGTTGCCCGCAGCGAAGGCTGGTGATGATGCCCCGGCTGCACTCGTGGAGAGCTGGCTTGTGTTCAGTGAGAAGATTAAGCCAAAAATCTCTAAGGCTTTGTTGGATTTGGCTAGCTTCAAGCTAGGCAGGAACAGCTCTTTGCCTTTTTGGTGAGAGGAGTCCAAGAGCGTGTGTTTCTTGGTGAATGTTCTGCTAACAGGATTTAAAGTCCTGCAAGGTGGGTCTGACATACTGACCACGGATGGACCACTTTTGTTTGGCAATTCGTGGCCTGTGTGTTTCCTGTGGGACTGTTGACTCATGCCTTCCTAACCTCAAGATAAGATGGGGAAATGGAAGGAGGGAGATGAAATAAAAATATTGTCCTCCTTCTTTCTTTTTAAAAATTTTTTTTCTATATAGATTCAGGGGGTTCAGTGTAGACCTTCCAAAATTCCCAAACCAAATCTGACTCTTGAGCATCTCGGATTACTTTAAACTCTACCAAGGATGCCAGAGCAAGGAAAGAAATATATTAAGAAGGTAAATTCATTCTATGCACCTGCTCCCTCACTAGCCGCACTCTTCACCCTCAACTCTGCTGGCAGACAGAGGGTCACTGTGTGCCCAGCTCCAGACAACAATAATGGAGAACGCAGATTCATTTGGCCTTTTCCTGTGCCCCAGGAAACCCGAAGCTGGTTGCTAAGGGATGTGCGTTGCAAGGATTTTCTGCAAACGCTATAAGGCAAGGGACTTGGAGTAGAGCATCTAAGTTTGGATTTATTATATACCGGGTGATTTCTTTTCTCATGTGCCAGGCAAGGCTGCAGAGACATATCAGCTGGGAGATAAGAGGAAGCCGGGACACAAAGAGAACATACCAGGGAAGAAGCCTGGCTTACTCTCACTATGTTGTGGGTATGGAGGAATATGAGATGCGCTTGTTACAGTAGCAAGGCCACCAGAGTTGCAGAGAAAGGATTCACGCTTGGATCTCTGCTCCTCGAGGTGCAGTGAGGTGGGATGGGGGTAGAAAAAAGAAAAGGGACAAGATGACCCGGCAGGCTTGAACCAGAACAGACAAGTTGAAACTGGCCTCCTCCTCTTCTCATTCCTCCAGGTCTAAGTTGTGATGGCACTCTTTGTTATGGGAGCATGCTCCTCCCAGTCCCAGGAGAGCCTGTGAATCTTTAGCCCACTAAGAAGTTCCTGAAGCAAGCCTGAAGAGATGTGTGTCACCCAACTTGTCCTTCAGAAGAACCCGGTGCAAGACCTTGAGTGACATTCCTCTGTTGAGACGCATGAGGGCGCTCAAGCCAACTGACGATGTGGAGATGGTTCCTAAATTTAAAAAAAAGAAAAGAAAAAGAAAAAAGAAGGAAACAAAA